GAGTGTGTGAGTGTGTGAGTGTGTGTGAGTGTTGTGAGAGTGTGTGAGTGTGTGTGAGACTGTGTGAGTGTGTGTGTGAGTGTGTGTGTGTGTGTTTAAACACACAGGTTGGAATAACTACAACCTGCCACATTCTTTTCAAAGCCTTCCCAAGGCCCCCAGGGCCTCCCACACCCCAGCTGCTCCAGCTGCTCCTGGGGAGGCGGCTCGGGCAGACAGGGAGCAGTGGGGAAGCCTGCAGGGTGGGCAGTGGCCCTGAGCAAGCCTGCGGCAAGGTGGCCAGGGCTGACCGTCAGCAGGAGCCCCTCTTCCCACCTGGGCAGGGAGGGCCCGTCATGCCTGGCTCCCCACAGGCTCCCCACATGACTCCCGTCACCCCCATGAGCCCCAGAGAGGGGTAGGAGCAGGCGGTGGAGGGAGCAGAGGGGTGCGTCCCCAGGTGGCTCTGCACAACACACAGGGCAAGGGGGTTGGGGTGTAGGGTGGCCTCTCTGCCCCCCCATCCTTCAGGACACACTCCACACCACAGCCCGAGCCTCTGCGCCCAGCAGTGGCTGTCCCCAGCTCCCTGGGATCTGCGGAGCCCTGGTGAGCTGTCCCCACTACTGGGATGCCTTGCAGTCTCTGGCCACCCACACCCCCAGGGCCTCAAACCTGCTGTTCCTCCACTGGGAAGGCCTTGAGGTGCGTCCACAGGGACGCTCCAACACCAGCCTCCAAGCAGATCCCCTCCCAGACCCGCCCCCGCCCCCTGAAACCCCTGCCTCCTGCGGCCGCTCCAGCTCCACCCGGGGATCTCTGTCTGTCTCTCCCACAGGAGGGGAGGTCCTCCACTGTGCTGTGTCCTTGGACCTGGGACAGGGCCTGGCATGTGCTGCCTGATTAATAATGTCACTGTCACCCGACCAACAGAGAGTCCGGGGAATGAGGAGCGGAGGAAGGCAGGAGGCCGACAGGTGGCTGCTGGATGATGGACAGATGGACGGATGGGAGGAGGATCAAGTGGGTGGACTGAAGGGAAAGTCCATGGATGGACAGATGGACAGTGGGGGAGTCAGGACAGAAGAACCCAGGGAAGGAAGCACCTCTAGCATATGGAAGAGAGGAAGGAAGGAAGGATGGACAGACAGACAACCGGATGGATGGATGGATGAATGGACAGATGGACAGACAACTGGGTGGATGATGCATGGATGAATGGATGGATGAATGAATGGACAGATGGATGGACAAATGATGGACAGATGGATGGGCAGACAACAGGACTGATGGATAGGTGGATGGATGGATGGATGGACAGATGGATGATGGATGGATGGACAGATGGATGGGCAGACAACTGGATGGAAGGATAATGGATGATGGATGAACAGATGGGTGGATGGAAGGATGGACAGACAACTGGACTGATGGATGAGTGGATGGATGGACAGATAGATGTGCAGACAACTGGATGGAAGGATGATGGATGGACGGATGGACAGTGGGTGGGTGGTGGGTGGAGACACACTGCCAGCTGGACGCCGCAGTGGCAGAGACACAGGTCCCCCCTCGAGAGGAGAGCCCACTGCGGTGCACACAGCCCCCCCTCCCTCCGCGCCCGCCCCAGGCCCTGCCCAGGAAGCGAGGCCGAGGAACATGGCAGGTGGGGGCTGACCCCAGGCTTTATTGAGCAGTCTTGGGTGGCGGACAGCAGGCCCTCGCCCCACCCTGGAGCCCCCTCTTCCTGCCCTGAGGCCACCCAGGGCGGCGGAGGCCGCGGGACCGTGCCCCTCAGCTGCTGAGGAAGCAGCCCCGCTTGTGCCACTTCTGGTCGCGGATGCGGCGCACGGACTGCAGCTGCGGCTGGTTGGCGTCCCACTCGTTCCAGTGGCGGTACTCGCCCCGCTCCAGCACGTACTGGCGCCCSCGGTAGCCGGGGAACTCATAGCCGACCCACCTGCCGGGATAAGGCTGGGCTGAGGACAGCTGTCACCAGGCCCGGCCTCGGCCAGCCACCGACTCTGCCCACTGCCTGTTACCCGGCCGGGCTCCTCCTGGGCTCCCCAGTGCCCTTGGGATGCGCCTAAACTCGAACCCTCTCACCAGACCCTTGCAAAACCCCCAGGTGCTGTCTCCACGTCCCTCTTCACACTGTGCCGCTGAGCCTCCGTACATGCTGTTCCTCCTGCCTGGCACACTCTTCCTCACCTTGCCCTAKTCCTCCCCCTTCCATTTGCACCCCTTACCACTCCATTTAGTTCCTTCTTCCTCTAGAAAGTCCTTCCTGGCTGAACTGAATAGCTCCCCAGGACTCCCAGAGGCATACGTCTGCCTCCACACCCTGATCACAACCAGCTGTGAATACCTGTCTCCTGGCCTGTGTCCCTATCGGCCTGGGAAATTCTTGAGGGCAGTGGCCATTTAGTTCTTAGAGTTCCCTGTGTCCCATTACCTCTCACATAGTAAATGCTCAGCAAAAAGTCCCTGAGTAAAATTTCACAGGAAGGATCAACCCAAGTCATAGGCCCACCATGAGACCTAACCACAAACACAGGGCAAGACGCCTTAAGGTGGCATTAACAGTGACATGCAGCCTAGAAGGAGGGAAGTGATTCAGTCTGCTCTCCTAGGAAGGACTCGGGTCACACCTCGGCATACATCTCACGTCCTTGATCGGGGTCAAGGACTGTGAAGAAGAAAGAACAGTCCGAGAATCACTTTCCAGGCCTGGATAGGTTCAGAAAAGGAGCAAAGGTTTAGATGGGGACAGGTAGGGGACCCATTTCAATGGAAAAAAATAAGTTTCTGGAGTCAGAGCTTCCTGGGGTCCCAGTGGTGGGAGCACCCGACGGGACGTCCCCATCCTGGGTGCGGGTGACTGGGACTCTGAGCAGGATGGTCCCCTGCGGCCTGGAGGACACAGGTGGCTCCTGTGCAGAACAGAGGGCGGAGAYGGGGCGGGGCAAGGGTGCGCCGGGTCCCTTACGTCCCGTTGATGGCCYGGATGCTGGCCACGCGGTCCTGGAAGCCGTGCGCCCACAGGCTGGGCACGTCGTCGTCCACTATCTCCATCTTGCGGCCGCTGAAGGCGGGGTTCTCGAACAGGTGCAGCTTGTGGTCCGGGCCGTCCTGGGGGAGAGCGGGGCTGAGCCGSCCACCCCACCCCGACGGGCTCGGGGACGCCCCGGGAGGAGGAGAGAGCCAACGGCCACCCCAGAGCTGACCCAGGAGGGAGAGGGCCGCGGAGAGACTCAGCGGGACCTTCGAGCCACGGGTAGGAAACAGCTTCATTCCACCCATGGCTGCAGAGAGGGAAGCTGAGGCCGGGGCAGCAGCGATGGATGGGCAGTGTGGACGCAGGTGCCACCCCGCCCTGCTGGACCAGGTCCCACCCGGCCTCCCCTCGCACTGCCCAGGAGGAGCACCGGGTGGTGGGAGCGGGAGAAGGGCTGCCGTGGGCAGGAGTGGGCGCACATGGGTATCAGAGGGAAGCCAGGAAGGACTTGAAGGGCGGCAGGGTTCATTTCTGGTTATCTCCTGGGCTGTTTCTCATTTCCACGGGGTTACAAACGGAGACCCCAGGGCGGCATGGGTTAATTCAAGACGAGCCCCGGTGTCCGCACCCCTGCATCCAGTGTCCACTCAGTAGCCGACTGCGTCTCACTCTCCTGGGGGCAGACATTTGGGGGCCCCTCCAGGCTACCACCCAGGCGGGGGCGGGGCTTGTGCTCACGATTTCTAGAGGCCGGAGGGACAGGAGGCTGTCACTGTGGCGGCTATTGGACCAGGCGTCCCAGCGAGGGTAGTCTCCCTTCTCCAGGACAAACTGCTCTCCCCGGAAGGACCTGCACTCAAACGCCAGCCACCTGGGGAGGGAGGGCCTGGGTCACCTCCAGGGCGGCAGAGTGGGCACCCAGGCCTGCAGATCTGGGGGTGGGTGGCTCTGACCTGGCTCCCTGCCTGGCCCCAGTCTTGCTGCTGATTCCTGGGTCTCCTGTGGATGGACCGGGACATGCTGAATAAGTCTGAGACCCTGGACCCAGAAACYGTCGTAGGACATGTTTTCTAGAATCCACGTGAAGTCCAGTCTGTGAGGAGGGTGCTCAGAAAGTCTTAGCAGGACACCCGACAGGCTGTCAGTGTTCTGTAGAGCACCCCCCTCCTCCTCCGCTCCTCTCTTCCTCCCTCCCTCCCTCCCCCTCCCTCCTGCTCTTCATTTCTCTATCTGATGTGCATCTGTCCAGGGTCACTCAGATGTCAGTGCCAGCGTCTGGACTTGCTTGCCTTGTAGACATGGCTGGGATTCCTGACCCCTGGGGTTCAGTTTCCTCATCTGTGGAGATAAGAATGGCACCTCTCTCATAGGATGAGAGCAATACTTGTCAAACTTGAGATGATATTTTTACTTGAAATTATAAGTATCACCAGGGTGCAGTGGTACATGCCTGGAATCCCAGCAACTTGGGAGGCTGAGGCAGGAGGATCACAAGTTCAAGGCCAGCCTCAGCAGCTTGGCAAGATCTTAAGCAACTTAGCAAGACTTTGTCTCAAAATAAAAATGTAAAAAAAAAAAAAAAAAAAAAAGGAAATTACAAATATCATATCCATTTATTTATATGCACTGATATAAATTGAATATTCACTATTTGGTCATGGAGTCAGTCTGTCCTCTTTCCTGCCACTTGCCCTGGCAATGGAGAGCTTGAAGTTTTTTCGAAAAGAACCTCTCTCGTTCTACAGACGAGGAAACCGAGGCCAGAGCGGAAGGGAGCTGTCTAGGGCCCGCAGTAGCCGGTGTTGAGCTCCTGCGCCGGGGAGGTGACGGGCCTGGACAGGTACTTACGGCCCGGACTCCACTTGGATGGAGCCCACCTTCTCCAGCAGGCTGTCGGTCAAATTGGGACATTCCGCCGAGAGCTCGCATCGCTTGCCCTGGAAGTTCTCTAGCTCGTACACCGTCACCTGCAAGAGCAGCATCCTCAACGTCGCACGCGCTGGACTCCCAGCTCCAGCCGCGCTGCCCCTCGGCACCACCTGCTCCCTGCCCTCCGCGCGGCGAGCCTGCACCGCCCCCTGGTGGCCGCAGCGGGGACGCCTCCAGCGCCTCCAATCGAACAGTTAATAATGATGCCAACTCCAATGATTGGCAGGCGCCAGGAGGGACCCTGGGAGAGGAAAATAACCGACGGGAGGGCTGGAGGGAAGGAAGTGAAGCCGCTTTGGCCGGGAGGGAACAAGGGTCACTTGCAAACTTCAAGAGGAGTGAGAAATCCATTATTCCCTTCATGTGAAATTTCCTCCTTTAAAAACTCTACTTAAGCTGGGTGTGGTGGCCCACGCCTGTCATCCCAGCAGCTGGGGAGCCTGAGGCAGGAGGGTGGCAAGTTCAAAGCCAGCCTCAGCAACTTAGTGAGGCCCTAAGCAGCTCAGTGAGACCCTGTCTCTAAATAAATTATTAAAAGGGCTGGGGATGGGGCTCAGAGGTAAAACGCCCCGGTATCCAGCAAACGACAACAAACCCTCCATATAAGGCACATGAAATGCCCATCTACAAACTTTGGGCTCAGCTTTGCCTGCATCAAGCCCAAGAGGGAAGGGGCTCAAAGGCGCCCATCTAGCTTGAAGCGCAGTCTTTGTATGTGGCGCCTAGGGAGCACCCGTTCCAATCACTTTACAGAATGGGTGAGAGAATCTCAGAATGGGTAAGTCATTTTCCTCAGGCTGCACAGCAAGTTGGGTGGAGGCACTGGGATTCAGTAAGGCTACTTCTCTTCTCCCCACACTTGGACAGGAAATGTCCGCAGATGACAAAGGGAGGCAGAGAGAGATGACAGCAGCCTCCGGGGTTGGTCAAGGCCCTTGGAGGCCACAGGCCAGTCCTGTATGGTCCCCAGGAGGAAGCTGAGGGTCGGGGCACGGCTTACGCACATCACCTGAGGGTCAGGCGAGGAGCCGGGGGTTTCTTGGCTGACTTGACCCCTGCCCTTCCCTCAACCCATCCTGGGACCCCGTCTCCAGTGGCCCCTCCAGGGATGGCTGGGAGGGCAGAGTCCCCAATGCTAACCCCCCCGCCCCGTCCCAAGGGGGGAGGGGAGCCAGCTCAGGCCACGCCTCTGCGCCCTGCCCTCCAGGGACAGGCAGGGGGAGGGGACTGCTGCCATCTTGCCTATGAGGACCTGGAGGGGACAGCTAGCCATGTCACAGCGGGGTGGAGAGAGGGTCCTGCTCCGGCCTGGTCCCCCGACCCAGTACCTTGTAGCCACCGCCCAGGCCTCCGTGGCTCTTGCCGGCCGCAGCCTGCTCGGGGGCCCCGTGCTGTTCCGCCATCTCCTGGGGAGCGTCTGGCTTCAGACCAAAGGAGAACGGGTCACGGGGTCACGGGTCCCCGGGGTGGCCTGCTGGGATTAGAGGGGCTGGGACTGTGCTGCTCGGGGCTCCCTGGGTCAGTCAGCACTCGCTCAGACGCACGCTGGGGACTGGGAGCCCCACTTACAGAGGGACCTTCCCAAGGCACAAACTTGGCCTCAAAGCCCTGCCCTCTCCCACACCCGTGGCTCCCTGAAGTGGGTTTCTCGGGGCTCCCTAGACGCCGCCTGAGGACCCTGGCCAGAGCGGGCGTCTGGGCGTCACTGCGGGGTCTCTCCCACCCCAAGCCCCAGGCAGTGTGGTCATCTGTCCCCGGTCYCTTGGTCCTCCAGTGAGTCTGTGAGCACCTGCTCAGCACCCGGGCCCGGACCAGGTGACCAGGGTGAGCAGGGGACCACAGCTGGCAGGAGGGACCCAGGGAGCTTTGTCCTGGGAGCCAGATCCTCAGACACCTACTCTGGGCCAGTTTGCATGCAGCCGGTCACTCTGTCCATGCAGTTACTGAGCACTTACTRTATACCTGCACTCCAGTGACAGGAGGAGGGTGACCGCTTCCATCTCAAACTTGTCTCCTCAAGAGACAAACCCAGATAGGGACAGTGACACTCAGCCTGGGGACCTTCAGGTGTCACGGGGAAGGTCCTCCTGATTGCTGCCCACGTGGACGCTCACAGGATGCTTCTCCACGCACACACACACACACAGCTCCCGGGGCCCCTGCCTAGTGACATCCCACCCATGGGCACGCAGACACCTCCTCACGCTCTCTGTCACGCACACACACGGTGGCACATACAGCCCCCACAGGGACACCTCACACACCGCTGTCCCCACCCTCATTCCCAGGGAGCCCGCTCCCGACACACAGCCGTGTGGCCCGTGAGCCCTGGACACAGGCCTGGCCACACTTGGGCCGACTGGTCCCTGTGCCCAGCTCAGCTGGAAGTAGGACTCGGTCCAGCTACTGGGGACTTGGAGGGTCCCGAGGTCCCCTTCCCCTGCTCTGCTCGTCCTGGGAGCCCCGCCCCCGGGCACGTGACAGGGGCCACCGCCCTCTGACACCACAGATCAGGAAGGTCCCCGCTGGCTCCCAGTGGGTTTGGTGGCTGTCTGGGGTCCTTTCACTCAGTGCCAACCCTCAGGTGACCCCCRGTGTCTGCAGGGGGTGGCCACCGGGGTCCCCAGGCCTCCTGGGCCGCTCTCCCCTGCCCCCCGGCCCCGCCCAGCCCCCGTGAACCTGCTGCTGTAGCCTCTGGCAGGATGGGCACCAGGTCGCGCTGCGGACTCGGCCTGCCTCCAGGAGCACCCTATTTATGGGCGCGTTCTGACAGCCCAGCACATCCCCGCCTGCTGAGGCAGCGTCCTGTCCACCCGATTCTGTCCGGGCCGTCTCACTCCAATAGCCACCCGCAGAGGCCCCCGCGCCTCGTCCTCAGATGTGGCCTCTGATGACTTCCTGGGGGCTTTGTGGGAAGTCCGAAAGTGCTGGGCAGGGCAGAGGCCATGGGGCTCYGGGTGTGCCCCGGCTCCCCCCTTGGGTGTCTTGGGATCGCCCCTTTTACCCATGGGGTGTACGATGCGCTTGGAAAGCTCAGTTCCGACGTGGCGGGGGGACTCCGGAATCCTCCCTTTTCCATGTGCTGTGAGGCTGAGGCAGGAGGATCAAAAGTGTGAGGCCAGCCTCAGCAACTAAGCAAGGCCCTAAGCAACCTAGTGAGACCCTGTCTCAAAATAAAAAATAAAAAGGTCTGGGGATGGGGCAGTGGTGAAGCACCCCTGGGTTCAGTCTCTTCTTCGTAGAGATGGCGGACACACCATAGCTACCATGTATTGAAGACCTACTGTGTGCAAGGCTTCATCAGCATTGTGTGCAGCCCTCACCAGCTACCTCAAGGGRAGGACTTTTGACCTCTATTTTACAGTTCAGAAACGGAGTTCTGAGCTGGAGGCCTGGCTCTCAGCCTCAATAGAAATAAAGGCGGAAATGAAGGTCAACTTAGTTAGGACGAGAGTAGATGGAGCCATTTTCAAGGGYTGGCAGAGCTGGGCTGTGACATGTGATCACCCAACAGATCACTGCGGATGACACGGAGTGGACGAGACGTGGGGGCCCCGAGTGGACGGTTCAGCAAGGTCCCTTTCGCTGTGCAGTCGCTCTGGGYGAAACCCCTCAAGCCTGGGAAAGGCCCTGGTCACCTTGCGGCATCCCCTGGAGCTGGTGGCAGGAGGCTGCGGGTGGCCATCGAACCCTGGACTCGACCAGATCCCTGTGACCTGAGGTGAGCAGTGMCGGTCCCAGAGCCAGCTTCCTGGGCCACAAATGGAGAACCTGCTCCCTCCTCCCTCCTCCGGCCACAGAGAGATCCTGTGAGCAAACCTTCACCCTGTTCCCTGGACCCCTGCTGTGGTCACCTGACGCTCACTGCGGAGGTCCTGAAAGGCCACGCAGTCTCCAGCCCTGCCACTTGGGATGTGGTCACACCCTCCCGTGGAGCGTGAGGGGAGGCCGAGGAGGGACGGTCCCCAGGTGCTGTCATGTTCCAGGCCTCCGTAGCCCAGAGCCCAGCCTGGCCCCTCTGCCACCTGCAGCCAGGTCATTCTTGGTGGGGGTGGACGTGGGGAGAGGAGCTGTCCCCTGATGAGCAAGTGGCCCCCCTGGTCGCAGCCTCCCCTCCTGTGGTAACGGAGAGGCCTCCTGTCTTGGCGATGTCCTCTGGGGGGCACGGCCCTGCCYGCGGAGGACCACTCTTGCTGCCGTCACTGTCCATCTGTACAGRTGCTCAGAGACGAGCCACCCCCAGGAGGTGGGGACACAAGCCCTTGTCATCTGAATGCAACTCCTGCCTCGTTCCYGTGGGCTCTGGTGATGGTCAGCCACCCTCTCCCGGGACCCCGCTGCTCCTCCTGCTGCCCGGCCAAGAGAGACCGACGTGGCCAGTGAGGACCAGGCCTGCTGGCCGGGGAGACCCATTCATTCACACAGGGACACGGGGACTTCTCCAACGCCACTTGGTCCAAGCTTTATTTGCTATGTTCGTGGTCCAAGCGCAGCATCTCTGTGCAAGCCCAGCCCAGGCTCCTCACTGCGGTGGACCGTCCCCAGCTGCTCTGGAGACAGGCAGGGCCTCTGTACAGTCACAAACATGAAAGCCCTTGTAGACACGCGACGCCGAGAGGTCAGGGAGCCCGYGGGGCCTTTACATGAAAAATAGAGGGTTTTCTAGATGAATCCTCAGCCACGCGGTGACAGGTCGCTCCCGGGACTGGCTAAGGTGCCTCTCGCCTGCCCTCTGTCCAGAAGGCCCGGAGCCTGGGGACTCATAAGGCCACTGCGACAACCCGGCGGGCAGAAGACTGCACCTGTCCCTGGAATTGACACCTTCTATGGTGACTCAAAGATCCTAGGAGGGACCCGCAAGAATGACTAGGAAAATAGAGACTCTGTGTATATGGATTTCACCCTCCTGCCCCTGACCGGGAGTGTCCTGAGGGCYAGCTCGCCCGCCCGGGAMGGGCAGGACTCTCAGGGCATTGTCRGGGTTTGGGAAACGACAGAACAAAAGTCTCTTCCCTGACGCAGCCGAGGACGTGGGTGAACCCGGTGTTTATAGGATCCGTAAGGCCATGTCGGATGAGGCCACTAAAAAGCTCAGATTCTTCTTTARACCATGGCATCAATGTCCAGCGGGCCTGATGCCACCAGTGATTGTCACGGAAGGGCAGGTCCGAGTCATGGCAGGAGGAGACGGGGCGCGGGCCAGAGCGCCACTGTTTAAGGAGCTCCCGGGCAGCGAGGGGACAGGCTCAGGTGTCCACTTCAAGCGTTTGCTGGCCAAAAGCATCAGGTTGACTTTCTGGAAAAGAAAACTGGCTTCCCACCCACCTTCCCACAGAAGCCAACTGGACACAGAGAGCAAGGGACCCAGGAGGACAGGGACGGGGACAGCCAGCTCACTGAGCCTGCCTGGTGGGTCACTCGGGGAGCTTCTCAGCACAGACCCCCCCCTTGCTCTATCCTTTCTGGATGTGGCACAGGTCCAGTGTCCCCCTCCTGGCACAMGGTCCCTCCTGCCCCAGGGAACCAGGACCCCCTGGGCCTTTTGCGTTCCTGTTTCAACGCACGGTGTGGAGAAGGCACAGTGGGAACCGTCCACCTGGCCACGGCCCACACTTCTAAACTGGGGGTGGGAGACTCAGCTCTGCAGTTCTGCCAAGCTCCCCGGGCATCCTGGAGGGTCCACGCACAGATGGAGGTGGCACCATGACAGCAAGCAGAGAAGCCGTGGTCAGCRGTAGGGAAATCACCTGAAGGTCCTTCCAAGTCCCTTGCTCAGCCCCTGCGCTCCAGGCCTGGGACCTGCACATTGCTGATCCAGTCCTTAGCAGGCCGGCGTCACCCCTGGGGATGGGCAGAGGAACATCCGCATCTGTCACCTGGCCTGTCCCCCTGGAAGGCATGGCCGCCATCTGACTGTCCTGTCCCTGATTGTCGAATGTGAGGCTGTCGCCGCTCCCAACCCCCAACCTCCCCRGGACCACGGTTCCACCCCCACCTGCGTTCTCGGGGGGCCGAGAGTCTCCCCAACACTGATTCCCGAGCCCTGGCCGTGGGGRCCATGAGGGAGGGGTCTAACTGCAGGACAAGGTACGGACTATCAAAAGGCCAGCTGTCAAAGAGCTGATGTGCAAAGAGGTGGAGGGGACGAGGAGCACGGGGATGTGGGGTCCACAGCGGGGGAGCCGGGAGGATGCTGGGTGGGGGCAGGCTGGGGCACCCGGAGGATTAAGGCATATTAAGGTAGTTTAAAAGGGGACAGATTTCCAAAGGAGAAATCGGCAACCCGCAGGGCCACCCCCTGGAACATCAGCCACCTGTCACTTCATTGCGYTGATCATAAGCAGGAGCCTGGGGTCCAGAGAACCCGCGTGGCTGTGATTGTCAGCCCTGGGGTGCTGGAAGAGATGCGGAGGTGCATGGCCAAAGGTGCAGAGGCTTGTTCTGGCCAGATTCAAGGTCAGTGTCACCTCTTCATCAACAGGGAATTAAGTAGACTTATGCCAATCAAGGAGGGAAAGGCTGGACAGAACCACCCCAGGGCAGTCTTTTGTCTGGAATCTCATTTCAGGAATCTCCTTCCTGTCAGGTGGGCTACTATATTAAGAATTGAGGATTCTGCTGGGCACAGTAGTGCAYGCCTGTGATCCCGGAGGCTTGGGAGGCTGAGGCAGGAGGATCGCAAGTTGGAGGCCAGACTCAGCAACTTAGTGAGGCCCTCTCTCTAAACAAAAACTTAAAAAGGGCTGGGGGTGTTGCTCAGTGGTTACGTGCCCTTGGTGGTCGCATCAGTATATCAAGATCTGCTCTGTGCCTGCTCCTGAGAGGGAACAAGAAGCCCTTTCACTCACAAGAAAAGATAAAAACTGAGACGTCAGCGTCAAAACACTCAAGAATGTGTCCCTTGACTTGGAAAGCCACCACCTCAAAACTGCTGGAAAACTGAGACAGACCCTCAAGAAAACCAATTCAAGCTATTCCAGAGGCAGTGAGTCCCCAGGTGGCTGCAGAGGACACCAACTACTAACTCAGGGATGAAGGAAATACAAAGTGTCACCCAGCAGGTCCGAAGTCCCAGACACGGAGACAGGAGGCTCCCAGGTGCAGAAGCTGGGAGGGGGCAGGGATGGCGTGGGGTGCCCTGGGGTCTGTGGCCACTGTCCATGGTACTGAACATGGCACTCCCCGGGCACGGGTGTTTGTCCTAACCTGGAGAGACGGAGGGCTGCTGTCCCCCCAGACAGAGAGATACGAGGTGGTGAAGGCAGAGAAGACCAGGAGGTGGGGATGGGGCCAGTGGAGACGTGGCCAGCCAGAGACAAGAGAAGCAGGTCTTGACCGTCTGCAGAGAAGGGATACCCAGAGATGGCCGCCACTTGGGAAGCCAAGGAGCAGGTGCTGGGGCCCTCCACAGTCCTGCACAGCCCAGAATGTCACCGAGGACATCTCCCAGGCAAAGGTGGCACAAGACTGGTGGCGACTCCAGGCAGGGCGGGTGCAGGGTGCTTGCTGGCGCCTGGGTTTCCCAAGAGGAGGTGCCAGTGCTGAGTACTCCCAGGGAGAGCGAGAGGCGAGGAAGGCGTCAGGAGCCACCAGAGACTGTGGCTGCCCCCAGGCTTCGCTTATAGCTAGCAAGAAAGAGAGGTGACCCCGTGTCACCAGCACCCAGCACTTCTGCCCAGAGTCCCCGCCTGGGGCTCCCCTCYAGGGAAGGACTTGGAGTGAGATCAGCGCTTGGGCCAAGAAGGGCCCTGGGCGGGTGGAGCTGGGTGCGGGTGGGATGGGGTGGGATAGGAGGACAGGACCCTGTGTGTCCTGAGCTCAGCTCGCAGTGGCGGTCCCTCTCCCCAGAAGGCCAGCAGGGTTCACAACAGGCCGGGAAAGGAGGCCCAGCGCAGGCCCGACGTCTGGGGGCAAGGGCAGCGCCGTCCGCTGTCCCAGCTGCAGAGACAAAGGTCACCGCCTCCCCAGGGATCAGACGGAAAGGAACCAGGAAGACCTGGACCAGGGTGACAATGACCGTTTCACCRAGCTTGGACAACCTGAGGTGGTGGCACTTCACGGCTGGCCGTCAGACCCCCCTCCCGGCCTCTACAAACATGGACATATCGAGCTTCAAAGAAAAGTGGCGGGATTATTGCTTTATCACTTTCTAAAGCAAACAAAGATGACGTACGATGACGCGGTCGGCCCTGCACACGGCTCCTGGAAGGACAGACCCTTGGAGGGACGGGAAAGGTGGCTGCACTCTGCCAGTGCGGCCTCCTTCCAGGGGAGGAGCCTGTCGAGAAGTCACCAGGAACTGTGGCCTCGTGGCGGTGCCCGGACCAAGGCTGTGCAGGGAGCAGACACTGGAACTCTCTGGAAAACCTCCTTCCCAGAAGGCCTGCCTGGGGAGGAGCAAGGTGCCTTCCCAATGCGGGGCTTTCCCAGGACCCAGGGTGACAGTCCAGCCCCGGCGTCCACGGCTCCGGGAGAGGGTCGAGATGTGAACTTCTGAGGGAAAGGCAGGACCCGGCGGCATGGGCCTTTCTGCATGGCCGGGCCTCGTCCCAGGCAGCGGTGCTGTCTGGGGAGCTGAGCGGGGCTGTGGAGGCCGGGCCTCCTGGCCGGATCCTGGGGCTCTGGACAGTGGTCTCGGGCCTCGGGAGGGGCCCAGGCACGTGTGCGGGGTGCAGGAACGGAGGCTCGGCCTCAGCGGCGGGTTCAGACAGTCTGGCACTTAAGGCTTCTGTTAATTGGATGTGGCGGTGTCCCCTGCCTGGAGAGGAAGGGACAGTCCTGGTATCAGTAGTGGGAACATTTGGCCCCGATCCTCTCCGTCATCAGGGCTTCCAACCTTTTGGGGGGGGCTGGGGATGCTGCTCAGTGGTGGTACAGGTGTTTAGCAGGTGCGAGGCCCTGGGCTAGATCCTCAGCACCCCCAAAATAAGTCAATGAGCCAGGCCCAGTGGTGCCCGCCTGTCATCCCAGAGGCTCGGGAGGCTGAGGCTGGAGGATCTCAAGTCCAAAGCCAGCCTCAGCAACAGCGAGGCCCTAAGCAACTCAGGGAGACCCTGTCTCTAAATAAAACACAAAATAGGGCTGGGGACGGGGCTCAGTGGGTGAGGGCCTCTGAGTTCAACCCCTGGTACCCACCCTGCCCCCCAAATAAATAAATAATTCAATAAAATAAATATATAACCTTTTCTGATAATCCCAAGAGAGTAATCCCCACAAGCCTCAGGACTGGCATGAAATCATTTGGGGGCAGAGAGAGGAGGAGCAGACAGTTTGGTTCAGTGGAACAAACTTGACATTTAGGACCATTTCTGAGCCTCAATTTCCACAAATGAACTGCTGGTGAAAACACTGTATTATATATTTCAAAATAGCTAAAGGAGCTGATGGGGGATGCTCTCCCCACAGAGGAACGATGAGTGTTTGGGGTGATGGATGAGCTAATGGCCTGGTGTTACCACGGCAGGGAATACAGGCCCTGAAACACCACAATGCACCCCACAAATATGTACAAGTATTTCATGCCAAYGAAAAACAAAGTCTTTGAAAAATGGATTTCCCCTGGCCAGGCGCAGTGGCACACGCCTGTCATCCCAGAGGCTGGGGAGGCTGAGGCAGGAGGATGGAGAGTTCAAAGCCAGCCTCAGCAATGGTGAGGCCCTAAGCAACTCAGTGAGATGCTGTCTCTAATAAAATACAAATAAGGGCTGGGGTCAGTATTTGAGTGCCCCTGAGTTCAATCCCCAATACCAAAAAAAAGAAGAAAAAAAAGAGTGGATTTCTCAAGGCTTCCGTGGGCCGGTACAGGTACCCCACTAACACAAAGTCCACGTAGGTCCTCATCTCCGAGCCAGCCCCTTAGGCAGATTTGGGGATTTATGGGTCTTCTTGGGCTTAGCCTATACACATACCTGTGTGTCCACATACATATACATTAAGTGACATATCACATACGTGCATACGTATCCTGCAACACTCACAATCAAGCACCTGACATGACTCAGAATTCACTACGGTGGGTCAGTCAGGGCTGGGGTCCCAGCTCAGGGGCAGAGCACGTGCCTAACGTGCAGCACCCCCATAAAAAATGAAGTGGGGCGGGTGGAGTTGGGCAGCACGGCGTCCGCCCAGGGCTGGCTTTGCCCGGAAGGCATTCGGGAGGGCCTGGCCACCAGCACTAGTGCGGTTCAGGACGTGGGTCCCTCTGCTGATGCACCACAGCTGACGCGAGCACCCTGGGCCCTAGGCAGACCCAGGCCACAGAGACAGTATGGGAACACCTGGGGTGGGACCTTCGTGGGTCCAGGGGTCCTCGCTCTCCAGTTTGCAGATGGGGAAGCTGATGGTCACTGTGTCGGGCCCTCTGGCAGCAACAGCAGGGCAGATCTGATCCCTGGACGTTTGCTCTGACCCAGTCAGCCCCCTGCTGGCTGCAGGTCCACATCGGTGGACTCACAGCCCCCGACTGGCAATATGTGGAAAGAAGAGAATGTGCGGCACCCACACAGGTTTTCCTTGTCCTTCTTCCCTGAGCGGTACAGCGTGGTGACCACACAGCATCTGCACTGATTCTAAGTCACCTGGTGTGATTTCAAGAACGTGGGAGAATGGGATTCGTGCAAAGGTTGCGCCATGTTATAGCTTGAGCTTCCCCAGATTCGGGTACATGGGGAGGGGGTCCTGGAGCCAATCCCCAGGAGACACCAAGGGACGACTGTTTTTCAGATTAAATCTTCATGACACAGTTGGGTCACAGACATGTTCCATTTGTAAAATTTGCAACATTTCAGATTACTCTAATTAATCAGTCCTTCCATGTCCAACTTTTCCCTACAAGGGGGCCTGAGTTGGAGCAGGAGGGGCTGGCCCGGCCCGTGAGGCCCCTGGCGTCGGGCGCTGGCCCTGTGGCCTCTCCAGCCACCCCAGGCTCCCAGCTTTGTTTCCTCCCTGCGGGGGCAGATTGTCACCACCCTCCTTACAGCCCCTCTCCTCCCGCCTCCCACCTGGGCCTCCCCCTTCCCGCTCTCCCCAGCAGGCCCCTCCTACCGGTCAAGCTTGGTTCTCATACAGGCTCCGCCTCTTCTTGGACTTGAGGTCCTTCAGCCACTGGGGGGAGGGCTCCTCTGACCTGAAACCACAGGGTCAGTGGGTGTCAGGGGACCCAGGCCACGGGCTCTCACAGGCAGCACCAGGGTACCCTGCCCCACCTGCCATGCCGAGGCGGTGCTGAGCCGGGCACCCATGGGTGGCAGGATGCCCGTGTTAACACCGATGATGAGCAAGCGCTAGAAACCAACCAAAGCCACAGTGGGTGCTGGGTGAACCCCGGGGCCCGCTGTGGACTGACGTGCGGCCGTGAAAGGCCACCTGATGTAAGACCTTTCCACCCATCACCCAGACACACGTCACCCTCGCTCTCTGTGTAACACCTGGGCTACTTTAGGTGTCACCTTGGCTACAACGGCACCCGGATATTTAGTCAGATATTTTTCTAGATGTTTCTGTGAAGGTATTTTTTTCTTTTTCTTTTGGTATCATTGAATTGAACCCAGGGACACTTAAGCCCTGAGCCATATCCCCAGCCCTTTCTACTTTTATTTTGAGACAGGGTCTTGCTAAGTTGCTTAGGGCCTCGCTTCGTTGCTGAGGCTGGCCTCAAACTTGCAATCCTCCTGCCTCAGCCTCCTGAGCCACTGAGATTACAGGTGTGCACCACTGTGCCTGACTGTGAAGGGTATTTTTGAGGAGATTGTTATTATTATCAGTAGTAGTACTTGTAGTAGTAGTAGTAGTAGTAGTATAGCAGTGTTAGGGATTGAACTCAAGTCCTTTTGCATGCTACACAAGTGTGCTGCCACTGAATCACACCCCCAGTCTGAGATTGATGTTTAGAGCAACATACTCAGTAAAGCAGATCACCCTCCCTCCTATGGGTGGGCCTCACCCAGTCAGTCAGAGGCCCTCATAGGAGGAAGGGGGAATCCTGCCAGTGTACTGCCTTTGGACCTGAACTCCGGCTCTCCCTGGGTCTCCAGCCGCTGGCCTGCTGTCTCTGGGGCACCCTGGACTTTAGCCCAGGCCTGTGGGCCTGGAGACCCTGCTCTGGGGGGCTTCTCCACCATGGAGGAATGCTGAGCTGCAGGCTGCACCCAGGGCAGGAGGCACATCTGGCCACACCCCTCCCCCGTCAGCTGGTCCTCCTGGGCTGTGCCGGGACAGCACCGCAGGCCTTTCCACGTTGGCACGCCTGGATGAGGTCACTGCTCCCTCCCCTAGTGAGATGGGTTTGTCCTTCAGGACTCTCAAAAGTGTCCCCTTCTGTGGAAGCTACTGGGGACACCCTTCCTCCTGCACTTTGGGTGATGACTCCCTCCTCTCCACAGGGCCAAAGGGGAACCCTTCCTGCAGTGGGCGCCACGGCACCTAGTGAATGGGCGTGTCCGTGTGCCAATAAAGCTTTATTGACAAACACAGACAGCGGGCCAGATCAGGCCTGGGAGTCGTCATTTGCCACTGTGTGCTCTGTCACCTCACTGACGAGGTCGCACCCTGGGCTCACGAATGAGCCTGAGCTTCCTATGCTGACAGTCCTCGTGAGATGTCCACTCTCCCAGGGGATTTCTCCTGCCAGCCGCCGGCAAAAGGCTCTGTTCAYGTTTGGTTCATCCTCGTGACCAGCCGAGAGGTTTGAATTAGCAAAGCCACTTCACAGACGAGGAAGCCGAGGCTCAGAGTGGTCAAGTAACATTCCCCAGGTTCATCAGCAGCGCTACTGAGGAGTCGCACGACCTTGGCTGCTGACCTTGGAGCCTGTGCCCTTAACCTCCAAGGCCAGCTGCTGGCCTGGTCTGAGCGCTGCGGGACGCAGGGGTGTCCTGGGCTCCTCCCTGCACAGGGAGGCCTGGCCAGGAAGGGCACCCGGCAGTTGGTATTTGTTATGGCTGTGCCCTTGGGACCACCCTCSCCGGCCCCCCACCTCCAGAGACAAAGGCACCCTCAGGAGGGTGACAGGAGGGAGGTGGCCTCTGGTTCCCCGCCATCTGGAGAAGGCTGCACCCATCGGCGGTTCCCCAGCTCAGGGGCTGGTTTGGGGCAGGAGGCAGCGGGAGGAGGGCAGTGGGCCGCGGCTGCCCAGCCTCCTTCCCTCCTCTGCGGCGGGCTCCGGCCGTCAGGCTGGAGAGATCGGGAGGCAAGACCCTGGTCCCCTGGCCTCACCTCTCGTCCTTGTCCATGCTGGAGGGCAGCACGCGACTACCCAGCACCCCAGGCTGGAAGGGGGACTTGGGGGCTTTGGGTTGGGGGCTCCAGCCRGGGGTCTCTCCAGAACTGTCCACCTCTGGCCTCCTGGGCAGCTGGGCCTGGGGAGAGAAGAGCCGGGTCTATAACCACCTTYGACTGCACAGGGGACTCTCCGGTGGCGGCCCCCAGAAGCAGTGGGCCCTGAGGCTGAAGAACCAGGCAGGAAACAGGGCTGGGGAAAGCCAGGGGCCAGGGGGCATTCCAGCTGGTGGCCTTGGCCTTCGAGGTCAAGTGGCCACCCAAACCCACAGTCACATTTTCCTGCCTCCCACCTCCCCACCTCCCGGGGGACGGCAGCTCCATCCCGTGGTGACAGGGAAGGTCCCTTCAGCCCCTGGTCCAGGCAGTGCTGGGTGGGTCCCAGCCACGGTCACTGCCACCACCACCCCCTGAMCGCCCCTGGTGAACCAGCCCCAGCCTCCTCTCCAGGAGCCGACGCACAGCCTCTTTCCACCTAGCGCAGGAGATTCCAGATGCGCTCGAGGATCCAGGGTCTGCCCCAGGGGTGACTCAGGACATCGCCCCAGCCCTGCCCCTCCTCGACCAGCACCCCTCCTCTGCCTCTGTTAGGCCCCTTCCAGGATCCTTTGTTCCAATGCTAAGGAAATTTCTTTTTTTCCTTTCTTTTTGGATTGAACCCGGGGGTGAACCCGTCCCCAGCCCTTTCTCACTTTTTTACTCAGAGACAGGGTCTCACTGAGTTGATCAGAGCCTCACTGAGTTGCTGAGGCTGGCCTCCAACTTGCAATCCTCCTGCCTCAGCCTCCCCAGCCGCTAGTATTACAGGATGCACCACCTCATCCAGCCATAGGAAATATTTTTTGACTTTTAAGTTTTTAAATTCATTACAATTTTTTTTTTCACTTTATTGAGTCCGATAACCTCTGGCCCTGGATAGTGGCTCAAGAGATGTTCCTATTTGGAGGACCTGTGAGATCCGTTAAAAGGCAAGGTCCAAACACTATCTAGTGACTTTTGATTCTTGCTAAAAAGAACACAGAACGCAAAGCTTCGGTCTACCAAAGGAGGAACAGGCCCGTGGCCTCTGCTACACGGTTTCTGTGGCCTGTGCAAAATATCCGGAGTTGATGTTCCACGAGGAATCTGGGCTTTTCTGCCTTCAACAAAGGGCCGCAGAGACTCCTGTGGGACTGTGGCGCGTGGAGTGAGCGCGCAGTCGCCCAGAGCCAGGAGCGCAGAGGGCCCTTCCTTGTCCGAAGTAAGTACCGCTTCAGGGAGGCCGCGGGGTGGCCCTGGGCGAGCCGGGAGGGAGGAGGCTGCCTAGCACCTCCCCCGGAACCCCATAATCCAGCTGGGATTCTGGTAAGTTTAAGAGAGCGTCAGGTGCCAGGGCAGCCCTCCCGCCAGCCAGCACGGAACTGAGAGTGTCCTGCGTCCTCCATCTGGGGGGGGGGGGGCGTGGGTGGCCTCTCTGTTTCCCCAGCGCTGGCCCTAATGGCCAAAATGGATGGCCAGCCCCCTTCACTGGTGAGGACCCTGAGGCCCAGCTGTGGGCCACACAGCAGCAGGTCTGGGGGCCGAAGAGAGGATGCAACTGGAAATCAGGGACTCAGGGCCATGGGCCAAATCCACAGGGCTCAACAGCACGGCCGGTGGCATGTGCCCAGGCTTCTCCTGGTTGTGACAATGTGCTGTGCTCCCGTGGGACAGCAGCAGGGGACAAAGCTGACTGGAAGGTGTGTAGGAACCTCACTGCTTCTGGAACGTCCCTTGGGCCTTAAATTATTTCAAAAAGAAAGAAGGGGGGGAGGGAGCAGGAAGGGAGGGGGAGGGAGGAGGGATGGGGAGGGAGAGAGGGAGGAAGGGGGAGGGAGAGAAGAGGGAGGGGGAGGGAGAGAGGAGGGAGGGGGAGGGAGAGAGGAGGGAGGGAGGGGCGCTGTGAGGAGGGGGGGCACGGGCAGTCCTGGGGTCCCTACCTTCAGGACGGCTGGGTCCATGCCCGGGAACACGGGCACCCTCTGAGGGAGGCTGGCGGGAGCTCTTTCCACCCTAGGAGGCTTCTCCTCCTCATCTGACTCTTCCCTCCGGGGTGACTTCTCTTCTGGGGCAGAGAAAAGGGCACTGGAGTCACGGCCGGCATCTGCCCAGGTCCTAGGGGCCAGGACTGGCACCTCCCTGCCCACTGCCCTGAGAGGAGGGCACTGCGGCTGTGCTGAAGAACACCCCCGCTCACAGAGAGACCCCCTCCTGGCTCATGCCATGGCAGGGAACAAGAAGGACATGGTGGCGGAGACAGGAAAGGAGTGGACACACCCTGAGCCTCTCCCCTGGAGCCGTGACCCTAGAGAACAGAAGAGCTACCCCAGCCAGAGCCTCCAGGGGAGGGGCTACCCGTCCCCAGCCCTCGGGGACAGCAGGCAGCGTGCGGGGAGCCTCGGCTCCCTGAGACCTGGACACGGGTGTGGGCACGGTAGGTGTGGGAGGTGAACCAGGGAGCGCTGGCCTCTGGAGCCCCCAGACTAGGCAGGGGCTGCGGCGTGTCCKTTAAGTGCCCTGCCCTGGGCCAGCTCCTCAGAGCTGGAGCTCTCTGTGTGCTCTGTCCCTGCTGGCCTCACCTGCTCCAGGGGACTTAGCAGAGCTCGCCCCAGAAAACCAAGGACGGGTGCGGGGAGGAGTCCCCTTCCCCCAAGGCACTTGAACGTGTCCTTAGCAACAGAAACCGATGGGAGAGGGGGACGTGGATCTTCCAAGCCCGGGTGACAGGTGGCTATCTGCAGGAGCAATGCAATTCCCCCGGCTCAGGGCCTGGTCTGACATCCTCCTGTCCACAGGGGCCAGCTGCCCTGGTTCCCATGACCTGAAGAAACTTTGCTTTTCTTAAAATCTCTGGTGGCTCTCCACCTACAGATGGGTTCTACTTCCTCAGCACATCGTCAAGGGTCTCCAGGGCCTGGCCCCTGCCAACCTCTCCAGCCTCATTCCCATCGCTCCCAGCTTGAGGGACACCAAACTGCTTAGAGAGTCCCCAGACACACAGAACGCTCTTTGCACACATGTGTCCCTTAGATCTCATGGACACTGCTGCCTGGAATACCTTTACCTAGATCGTTCTTCTCTGTTCTTTGAGAGTCAGCTCAGATTTTGATACAGAATGCAGCCAAAGCAGTCCTTTGAGGAAAATGTATAGCCTTAAAGTGATTCATCAGGAAAGACTGAAAATAAATGATCTTTTAACCCAAGCATTTAGGAAAAGACCAGCAAACAAACTATAAGTGTGAATTTATACCTTAATAAGGATAAAAGCATACAGAGTAAACCCCTATTAAGTTGTGAAACCCAAAGGGCCTCAATTATTATATTATCCCTCAGAACATTTTTTGCCTGGTTTCCAATAAGCTCTTCTGAACAAGAAATCAGTTTTCTATTTAATTGTGTTCTAATGTTCACATGCCTCCAAAACCAGGAAGTTCTCCCTAGAGTTTAACCTAGGTCCTTCCTGCTGTTCGATGTGGTAACCAGGTAGGACAGAGGCATTGGCCTACCTGTTGAGTCCTTGAACATCCACATGCTATCAATCTCTTCCTCCAAAGGAGACTGGCTCTCTGACTTGCTGAATTGACTACGCCGGAGAGAGTGGGAGATAGGAGCCCGGCGGCGGCTTCTTTTGCTGAGCTGCACCCGGGTCTTGAGGGCACTGGAGTCGAGGACTGAGGTTTGCTTTGGGGGTGGCAAGGAGGAAGAAAAAAGGCAAAGGATCCGTGAGTTGAGGAGAGCGTCCACAGCAGGATGCCTATAGGTTCCTGATCCCTGAGGCACTAGTTCGTTATCGCGTGGGCTAGCCTGTAACCCAAATGCCCTTCACCTAAACCCCTCCACAGGAACCACTAGGCCAATTACAAGAATTGATGGAGCTGGGTATGGTGGCTCGCACCTGTCATCCTAGTGGCTTGGGAGGCTGAGGCAGGACGATCTTGAGTTCAAAGCCAGCCTCAGCCAAAGTAAGATCCTAAGCATCTCAGTGAGACCCTGTCTCTAAATAAAATGCAAAATAGGGCTGGGGATGGGGCTCAGTTGTCGAAGGCCCTGAGTTCAATCCCTGGTACCGAAACAAAAAAAAAAAAATCAATGAAGCAGTGGGCCTGAGACCCAGCACCGTGCCTGCACACACTAGGCACACAGCTTCCTGGGGACATCGCACAAGCATGTCGGCTGCCACAGAGCCCTGTACCCAGAAGGAGCTGAATCCAAGGGATGCCTGCCTGAGGGGCTTTGGTTCTTGGGATGGCTGCTGCAGAGACCCACCGCCCTGGCACGAGGGACACTGTTCTGTGAAAGACAGGGGGGACATGGGCACAATCATTCTGAGCAAACCCTGGGTTCTTCGTGCTTGGAACTGCAAACCCCTGGGAGAGTTCCCTGGGGGCGGGGAGGTGGCCCTCTGCCTTCCTGGTGGGTGAGGGCTTAGATCACTTTTAACTGAACAYGTGACTGTGTGTAAGGCTGTGCGCCCACTGTGCAGGTTACAAAGAGATAAGGAAGCTGAGGCTCAGAGAGGTGAAGACATTTGCCCAGAGACCCACAGCTGGTGTACGGTGGTCCAAGTGGGTCTGGTCACACCCTGTGCCCTCTGCACCCAGCGCAGGGGCCCTGGCATGACCCTGCCCACCCCTGAAGGGGAGTCTCCAGGAGATGCTGGCACCTCCCTTTAAAGGGAAAAGACCGATGGCACCCAGCTGTGCTCCTGGCCAGGACTTACGTCGATGAAGGAGAAGTCGTCCGCTCTGCCAGCTGCGCAGGGCTCCGGTGGGGGCAGCCCGTCCRCCCCGTCGGTGGACTCCAGCTCGGAGCTGGAGCGGTCCACGCTGGTGCTCCGCTGGTCGGCGGCCGAGGCGGGCTCCGTTTGCGAGGACAGAGAGGACAAGCGGCCACTGAGGGGCTGTCTCCGCGCTGACGGGGTGCTGCTGTCCGGAGACGGTGACTCGGGGGCCAAGCTGGGACACAGGGAAGGAGGGCAGATGGATCACGGAGGGCGCTTCAGAGACCCGCTGGGTGGGGCGCTGTGGGCACCGGGGAGCAGCGGTGGGGACCTCGCGGGGCAGCGCCTCCCGGAAACGCAGGACCTGCCAGCCGGGCACACGGGGCAGGGGCGGGGCAGGGACAGTGGGCCCCGCGCCATCCAAGACTCTCCAGCCCTGTGTGGTCCCGGGTGGCGTCGGGGCCTTGCGATGTGGCCAGTGAGAGCCTGGATCGCCGCGAGCGCGAGGTGCGCAGGGGCCATCTAACCCTTCGCACAAAAGACCGCGCGATGTCTCCCCAGTGACTTCCCGCGCTGCTCACGTGGTGAGACGGGAGCATGTCAGATGGGTGGGGTTCCATCAAATACACTGTTCAAATCAACTTTGGGTTAAATTTTGTGAGCTTTAGAGTTAGCTTATATTTCTTGTTTCTTTTTACTCCTTTCCTACCCCCCGGGACATCTTAAATGACATGATGTCTGTGTATCTGTGTGTGTATGGGGAAGGGGGGGTCTCTGATGCTGATCAGTGGCCACCAGCAGGTACCCAAGAAGTCGGGAGGGCACCCGCTCACTCGTGCAGTGCTTTACTGAGCACCTATTATGTGCCACGCACCGGGCTAAACACAGTGCCCTTCAATCCTCTTCATGATCCTATGAGGGTTATTTAAAATCCTTTGATGCCCACCACACTGTGAGGTGGCAGTAACCTCATGAAATTAAATATTAAAGACTGGGAAACCCGACACAGAGAAGCAACATTGCTTCCCCAAAGGGACAGAGCTGGGATGACCCAGGCAGCTGCACTCCAGGATCCTCCCTCATGAGCCTCTCCTACCACTCAAATCCCTTCCCATGATTGTATTCACGTATCATCTGGAAAACTGGAACCACACAGGATAGAAAATTGATATAGAAATCAAGCAATTAAATCCCCCGCAGTCCACAGAACACACCCACGTCGGGAAGGCAGCYGAGCTGCAGGGCCTGGGGAGCCCTCCCCTTGAGGAAGGGGGTGCCCACCTGACTTAAGCTGAAGGACCCACAAGCTGCACCCGCGAGCAGAACTTTCCACCCTGCTGTCCCGCATTCCAGGGTGCTTTTGTTAGCTCTGGGATGCCTCCCTTACTTGGAAGGCCGACAGCACCGAGGGTGTGAGGATGTGGGTAGGACCCAGCAAACCCACACAAGAGGAGGGAAATATCAACGAGCAGGCAGCAGATGGCGCCACTGCCCAAGGCTGGAGCTTCTGAGGGCGCTGCAGTCCCTCTGGGAGACAGCAGGGGGCGCGCACCACCAGGGCGCTGGGTGGGACCCGCTGGTCTCAGGTCCTGGTCTASRAGCTGGGGATCTGGGGCCTGGAGARGGGAAGGGGCTCCGTGGGTCATTTAGGAGATGAGCAAAACCACAGTCTAGGTCTCCCGATAACCCAGCGTCCTTGCAGGGCATTCTAAGGAAACTGAACCTAACTAAACCCTATTTTAAATTTCACAGGTTAGGAGAGAAAAAGAAAGATTTGCAGGACTGCCTTGCTCCCCTTTTTCTTACCYATTTTCCATTCTATCAACTTCACCCCAGCTTCAAATCAGCACCTGTCATGGGATGTGACCCAGTAGAGGGGGATGGTCACTCCTGACAGTGAGAGGGCCCATAGGAGACCTGGGTTCGAGTCCAGCTCAGCCACACACACATGGTGACCCTGGGCAGGCCCTGCGCTGCCTGTGAGCCTCGGCTTGCTAGGCTGGGCATGAGGGCCACAGACACGGAAACAGTCACACAGGAGAGGGCGGGAAGTGGCCCAGCCGGGGTTGACCAGGGCTCTAGATAGAGGTCGGCCTGTGGCAGAAATTGCTGAGTGGGCTGCTGAAGGCACAGCAGATCCACAGAGTGGCCATGAAGCCATTACTGTCTCGACCCCATCCAAAAGATGAAGGAAAAAGTGTATTTCTGAAACAAGAACAGGCACTTTACACAAAAGCTCCTACTATGTGCCAGGACCTAATCTCCACACAGGTTACCAGTCCATGTGCTGAGGTGCCTGATTTCTCTTCTAGAACACGGAATGACAGAATTAAATGCTAACACATTTAATCAACATGGGAAGTACTCACCATGTGTGTGGCCCACCCACTCCCCAGGAGTGTCCAGTTCTTGGGCATCACTTCCTTTCATGGAAGAGGAACATGTGATTGGGAAAACAAGGCATCTACCCAGGTCCTGTACCCAGTCAGGGTGGGACTGGATTCACAGCTGCCTGCCTCCCAATCTGGTTATGCTTGAGAGCCCTCAGGCTTTTGCAGTAGCCAGAATATTCCTCCGAGCCAGGCTGACCACTGAGGCCCACTGGCCATGAATGGTGGAGATTTTTTTTTTCTTTTCTTTTCTTTTTATTGGTACTGAGGATTGAACCCAGGGCACTTAACCACTGAGCCACATCTCTAGCCCTTTTTATTTTTTATTTTCAGACAGTTACTCAGGGCCTTGATAAGTTGCTGAGGCTAACTATGAACCCGTGATCCTCCTGCCTCGGCCTCCTGAGCTGTTGGGATCACAGGCATGCACCACCGCACATGGCTCATGAACAGAGATTCTAAGCAGACACAGCTGATTAAGCAACATGGAGGAGACACAGCCCTGCATTTGTAAACACCTCCCCACACTGAAAGAAATCTAGAAAGACCAGAAAAACATGAATGAAGGTAGATCTGTGCTGGGATTATAGGTGGTTTTTGTTTTCTTTGAAATTGTCTATAGTGGCAAAATACCCAAAGGTCACTGCGAGCAACACTGACCACGTCCACAGAGTCCTGGGACCATCGCCAAGTATCTGCCACCCAGAGGAGTCCCAGCCCACGTGCAGCAGGCTCCTCCTCCCGCTGCCCTCAGCTGCTCCCTGTCTCTGGATTGGCCTATTGGAGATTCTCCAGATTTGATCTGATATATATATATATATATTTTTTTTTTTTTTTCTTTATAAAGATTCTTTTTGATGTGAATGGCTTCCTCTTACCATAACAAAGAGGTCCTGGGCTGCAGAAATTGCTGGGCCGGCTGCATCCACTGCAACCAGATGCCCTGCTGGTGGCCGGTCCTACTGCAGATCTTACCTGTCCCCACTCTGGCGCTGGTCTGCCCATGTCCCATACTGGCCATCGGCTTCGTGCACCAGGGTGTCTGTGTCCTTGGCCTCAGGGGGTCGCCTGGAGAAGCACTGCTTCAGGTGGTCCTGTGGGGACGAGAGAGACGGGAGATGGCCATCAGAGAAAGGGCCGGGAACCCCACCCTGGCTGACCCAGGTCACAACACATGCCCCCAGCCCCCTGCTGCCCTCAGAGGTGGGTGCAGATGTCTGGGCTGGACACTCAGTGACCAAGAGGCCTGGCTTGCCCAAGAGGTCACAGACACAGGGATTCCCGTGTGCACACAGGCGAGCTGGAGGAAGCGGTCACCAGCACTGGGGCGCAGGGTCCTGCTGGGCGCCTCGGCCCATGAGAGCAGCCCTCACCCCCCACCCCAGGGGGACCGTCAGACCCTGCTCCGCCTGGGCTCAGGAGGCATGGGGTGGGGTGTGCTGCAGACGGCCCATCTACTGCTCAAAAACCTCCCAGGGCTCCCTACTGCCCTCCTCAGGAACCCACGGCCCCTGGGAGCCAGCCCCTGACCTGTCCATCTCATCACCCCGGTCCCCTGACCTACTGCGCATGCGTTGCGTACAATCCACCTATTCCCCACCCCCCATTCCGCATCCCCCCAAACACCCCCCACTCCCCCAACCTCCCCCACCTCTGCAGCTCTGCGTGTGCCGACCCCTTCCTGTCCATCATGCTCACCTGAAGCCACTGCGGCTCACAGTGACTCCCCCAGCCTCCCCTGAGCGTCTTGCCCAGGTGGCTCATCTGTACCAGGTCAAATTTGATACTTCAGCTATTCATTCAACGAATCTTTACAGGGAAGCTGCTATGTGTCAGGCACCAGGGCCTGGGGGTATCACAGCACAGACACGGGCTCCGGGAGTCTACTCCAGCTCCTTGTTGTCCTTGTACCCCACTTGGAGCCTCCTAGGCACACAGTAGGTGCTCAGTAGCAGAGAGCTGGTTAGCGGGTTGGGTTCCTCCCAAGCATGGGGAACCTGCCTCCTCCTGGCTGCTTTGGAAACCCCCTCAGCTGAGCAGGGACACTAGGGAAGCATCTGGGGAAGAGCTGTGCTGTGTGACCAGAGAGCCACTGCCTCCCTCTCTGGGTGGCAAAGAAGTTACAAAGAGGGCCCCTGGGTGCCGGGACTCTCAGTTTCCCACTCAGGATGGACAGCATGAGGAACGTCCCTGGGGCTACATCAGCGCACCTCTGCAGCTGCCCCGGGGAGACCGCTGGCCACTTTCAAGGCTTTGGCTTCTCCTGAGCAAGCCACCCTGTCCCCTCCAGGTCCCTGGCTGCGGGCAGAGCCTGCTGCTGGCACACCAGGATGGAGCTAGGCCCCAGCTGGGGCAGCTCTCACTTTTTGCTTCAAAGGTGACGTGCTCGGAGGCCCAGTACCCTTGGCAGATCACCCCTGGCACCCAGGGACAGAGCGGTCATCTGAGCAGTTCCCAGTTTCCTATTGTCTCAGGGACAAGGTGGGGCTGGCCACTCCCTACTCAGTCCACGTGGACTCAGGGGCTGTGAGCTGTCCCCGTGGACCCACACCACTGTCCCAGCCCGTTTGCAGATGGCTGCAACCTAGATGCTGGGCCTGTGCTGACCCTGGGGATGTGCCCAGGAGTAATGGCTCAGGGACAGCTCTCGGCTTGGGGTGGGGAGGGGCCTGGGTCAGCACTGTCTCTGTGGGCAGCCACATGGCCACACACCAGAGCTCACTCTCCGTGGAAGCACAGGGCTGCTGGGGCCTTCCAGGAGACCCTCTCTGGACAGGCTTGGCGTCTGGCACCAGGAGGTGCTCAGGAGTGGCCATGACTGGAATGATCCTCAGGCCTCCAGGGTCAGCGGGTGAAGGAGCCTGGGCAGAGCTCTCCGAAGCCCCCAGAGATGGGTCCCCAGGGCTGAGGACGAGGAAGGCTTGGATCTGAAATCCTCATGGTGGGTCATATCCCCCACCATCTAGTGTCCTGAGGGCAGTGTCCCTGACTCCTTCCATGCCCCCCTGCCATAGGGCACAGATCCTCAGACCTCTGGTGTCTCCTTCCAGAATGTTCCATCCTGAGGAGATCAGCTCTCCACCCCTGCAAGAGCTGGGGCGGGGTCACCTCAGCCTCTCGCACATTGTTCTCTGCCATCTGACCTCCAGAGCTCAGTCGGAGCCGGTAGGGCCCCTGCTCGGTCACCATCGTAGCTCCCATGTTCCTGAAGCAAAGCCCCAGCACTGGGAGACGCAGCAGGCTCCACCCTCACTGGAGGGGGCAGCTCCCCTTCCCCCCAGAGCCGTCCTCTCCCCCAGGTGCTCCCACTGGCTCCTCCAGCCTCTCCCGTCCCTGGTGGTCTCAGTCTTTGGGACTGCAGCACCCCCTAGTGGCAAAGCCGACTGCAACCTTGAGGGTCCTCCTCCAGCGAAGCCTCCCTGAGAGCCCCACCCCCAAGGCTGGCTCAGGAGCCCCAGCTCCCCCATCCCCTGGACCCCAGGTCTCTATCTGTGCTGATATAACAGCCGCCAAATACACGTGGCTATGTAAATTCAATTTAAATTAATTAAAATGAACTGATATTAGCCATTCAATTTCTTGGCAGTACGATCCATATTTTAAAGGTATCACAGTCACCTACCTATGGCCACCCTCTCAGAGAGCACAGGTGACAGCACGTTGCTATCACTGGGGAACGTTCTAGTTACAAGATCTACTACCTTAGATCTTCTGGCCATAAAATAATGATTGTCATCGACCAGTTTATCAGTCTTCCCTGGACGGGCCTGTTTCTGGAGCCAGAACACCTGCATTTGAATCCACGCTYCACTACATAGTAGCTGTGTGACCTTGGACAAGTTTCTTAACTTCTCTGAGGCTCCTCATTCAGACATAAAAAGTATTTGAAGGTGTTAGGGTGGATTCCACTGCCGTCCTGACGCTGTGACACAGAACCGTGGGAGGAGAGCAGGGGCGCGAGTGACCTGAGGGAGTGCACCTTGCACTGTTTATCAGCACTTTCTCGGGTTTGTGTCCTGGTGGCCCTGTACCTGCTTCAGGTTCACGTGCCATTGCTCCCAGGCCCGGCAGGACTTGGGATGGGCAGTGCTTGGGCTTGGCTCCCAGGGCCAGGAGGCCTTGAGATCAACCACCAAAAAGGGCCTGGTTGCCTCTGAACCTTCCAAGTGTCTGTTCTGGGAGTCTGCGGAGGCAGATGATCCTGCACTTCGGCTTTGCTTCCCAGGCTCCTGTCGCTGGCTGCAGGGGGCTGGAATCTACAGAGGGGTCTGAAAATGCGCAGGGCGAGTTAGGGGGAAGTGGCACCCTTAGTCCCCGCCCGTGGGCCCTTGGTAGAAGTCAGACCCTGAGCCCAACTCAGGATCCCCTGAGCCCAACCCTGCACTTCCTCAATGAGGAGACTCGGAGCCAGCCTCTGGGCTCCCGGCCAACGTGCCCTCCAGCCCCAGGTGTTCTGCCAGCCCCGTCTTCTCCAGGTGCTCAGGAGGTGCTGATGAGCAGACCGAAGGAAGATGCCTTTGAAACCTCAGGAACTTGGCAGGTTTGAACCCCACTTGCCCAGACAGCTCACCAGCCCCAGAGCSGCAGGCAGGTGGGAACTCAGGCCCGCCCTGCAGGCCAGCCATGCCCCAGCCCAGGCACCACAGTGAGCAGCTCCGGAAGGTCATGCTGGGGAGGCCCAGCTGACACGCACCCTCCAGGGTTTACGCCAAGTCTCGATATCCGTCCCCAAATGGAAAACGAGTAAGCCTAGCTGCCCRGGCAGGGTTAATGCCAGGGTTTATCTCAAGGAAACCATGAGACCCGCTCATCAAGATCCATCAGTACAGAAGCCACCAGCCGCACCGATCATCGATGACCCAAAGCCCCGGGAACAGCCTACATGGCTAAGGATGAGAGTGTGCAAAACGGAACTCACGGGATGAAGTCAACGCGCACGAGAACAATGACAGCTGCAAAGACGTGCTGCCACAGGAGAGGCACGCACACACCGGCAAACACAAAGCCACGCTGCAAAACCAGTAAGAACAGCACCTCTGTGTGACCACGAGCCAAGAAGAACATCTGGAAGGTTCCAAGGTGCATGGATCACAAGAGGTGAGGCCACGGGCTGCCTCTTTGTCACTGATACTGATTTTATTTTGCATCCACACTTGGAATTCCTCACCCAGATGGGATCCAAGGATGAGGTCCAGGCTGCTGAAGCGCCCCCTTCCTGGCACTGTCACGAGACACCCACCATGGACGGGGCTCTTGACTGCTCACTACCCCAGGGCTCAGCAACCCCTCTATAAAGGACCAGAGAGCAAGGATCTGGGGCTTTCTGGGCCCTGATGGTGTCTGTCCCTGCCGGGCGGGGCTCCAGTAAAACCTTACTTACAAAACAGAGGTGGGGTGCGCTTGGCCCTCAGTCAGTAGCTGCTGATCCCTGATCCATCGATCTGCACCCTTCAGCCTGTCTGCTGCATGAAGATGGGGGCACTTCCTTTGGCAGCCCTTGGGTGCTTCCTGGCCTCTAGTAGTTGTTAAATAAATTTGTGGGGAGAACGTGTCTCTGCAAATGTTATATATACCCCGCCTCCTGCAGTGGGCAGGTGGGAGCTTAGGGAGGGCAGGGAGGAGAAGCCCCCTGCCCACAGCCTCCTGGACACCTGACAGTCACCTAAGAGCCCTGAGTCAGGGCCACGCCAGGCTGCCCGGACCTGACAGCGGCTCTGAGCACTTCACGAGGCACATCACCGCCCCCGCAGCTGTCCCCTCCCCACGCAGCAACTCTGCACCCAGCTGCAGGGAGCACCGTGGTCACGGGCCCAGGCTGGGGGCTCCTGCTCCACCTCAGCACCTCGGAGGCCCACAGCTCTGCCTGCTCTGTGTCGGGGTCAGACCCGCACACGGCCACCCAGTCCTAGTAAGGGTACCGACCAGGGACGACCTGCTGAGAGCTGACCACGTGCCCATCCCTACGCCTTGGAAAGCCGTCCAAGGGGCAGCCCCAGCTCCACCCTCCCTAGCTCTGACCCACCCTCGCCAGCCCTCCACCTTCCCCTCTGTGAAACCGGGTGTCAGGAGGACTCTGCGGAAGGCCTGGCGAGGC